TTTTTTTTTTTTCCTCCATGAAAATGCCTCTTCCATGGAAGAAAGCTAAGGTGGCCAAGATATCTAAGCTTGTCGCCGACCTTCATGCTCCCAAACACGGCGGATCTCTAGTGGTGGAGACTGGTTTTCCCACCTCCCTTGTTGATCTCTTCGTTAAAAACCGGGATCGTCTCAAGAAATCGTCCAAACGCAAGCACATTAAGCCCCTTGAGGTCCGTACTTCGAATTCCTCGTGTACTGCTGCTTCACCTCCTACGCTGCCGCCGCTTCCGCCGGAGCCGGTTCGTGCGTCTGTTTCTGTGGAGGACCCAGATCGGCAAGTCAAAATCAGTCAAGGGGAAGAGGAGGAAGTTGGTGGAGCCGTCGGGAGTTTCGTCGAACACAAGGCGTGCGAGGAGAGGAGCGTGGTTTTGACTGCTGTAAAGACGTTCCTGGTGGTAGTTCTTGCCATGAGCACGAAGAAACTGGTCCTGGCGATCACAATGTCGGCGTTCCTCCTGCTTTTCCTCGAGTGTGTAATGGCTCGTGTGTTGAAATTCCTGGGTCCGTCAGTGGATGCCGAGAGGGTCTTGAGTTGTTTGATCCAGAGATTGTCTGTGAAGAAAAGTTTGTTGGTATGGTTCGGAATGGGACGATGCGAGGATTCTACAAACCAATCTACGAACCAATTGGTTGTACAACAAGATGAATCTTGTGGGTTAAATGAGGGAATTGAAATGGAAAGTTCTGTAGAGGGGATTCAAGCTGAGGAAATTGTTGAAGAAAGTAGAATGAGGGAACTGGAACGTGTTTCAGTTGGTGGAGAGAAGAGAAGAGAATGTATGAATATGGCGAGGTTTATGGAAGAAGAAGAAGAAGATAAGAAAAACCCAGTTTTGATTTGTAAATCTGAACGTAGCCGGCGTGCCAAATTCACATCCAAGATTGTGCATAAGTTTGTGCCCAAGAAGCTGAGACATGTGAGGAAGAAAGGGAAGGAGAAGAAGGAAACTGAGCAAGAAGCCAGTTATGGAGAGCCTGCTTGGTTTAACAGATTAAGTACCATTGAAGAGGAAGAAGAGCATGTCATTAGCGGTGGGCAAGAAAAGGATGAGATTTTACATGCATTAGTTGAAGAGATAGAGCAGGAAAGATGCAAAGGGGAAGACTTGAATGTTAGTGGGAAAGTATTGGGAGTTGAAGAGAAGAAGAAAAGTGTTGTGCTTGGAACAAATTCTCCTGTGTATCTAATTCTTTTGCTGATTGTGCTTGTGGGTCTTTTGGGAGGTAAGGTTTTAGCTCTTGTACTCACAGTTGGTTGGAGTTGGATGCTATGGATTTTTGGGAAGATGAGAAAGAGTGGAGATGCTTATTGTTCTCTTCCAATCTCTAGGTGAGATTGGTAAAGTTAGGTTTTTCTTGTCTTCTCTTGTTTTGTGAAGATGATGGTTTCAAAGATTGGAATCCGGAGAGATACACACACATACAAGTTCCAACCTTTTTGTTGGCAAACCAAATGTCAAAAGTATTTTACTCTGAATTGTAAATTCTTTCTACAGATAACAAGTTACAAAGTTGAATTTCTTCATTGCTTAA